TCCCCAATAGAGAGAGTATATAGTGTACATTCATCCCCATGCACAACACACCGTGTCCAATGCAATCCCTCTCCATTTTGCTCTGCTGGCCTAATGGCCTGACTCGTGCTCTCTCAGACATATTTGATGAAGTTGAGCCGAGTTACTGTGGCGCACAGCATGTCAGCCTTTTGTTTGGGACTTGGCAAAGCATCTGGGGGCACTGGTGGTGTGAAAGGTTCAGTGTAAGCTCATTAGTGGATTACGGGGCTGTAATTTCAGTCGCATGCAAATGAATCCAGGTGGACGTCGAGATCAGGAGCCCACTGAATGTTCCCAGCTGCTGCCGTGCTCCTCCGCTGTTCCCATTCAGTGCACGGGATATGTTATTATAACATCGCAATGAGCTTTCTTGCAGGGCTGGAATGCAAAGAGCAAACATAATGGTTGGTTAAAAGACTGCCTGGGAGCCGGTGGTTGTTCAAGCGACTCATTTCACCAGCCGGTTGTGTGAACATATAGGTGTCTGAGACAGCAGTTGCCATAAATCCCTGTTATAAAAAACACTAGGCAAATATTTTCAAAAGTGATTTGCAGTGCCCAAATTTGAGTCATCTTAAAGGGGCCTGATTTTCAGCAAGGCGGGTGCTCAGCCCTTTCTGAAAATCAGACCATTTTAAGGTGGGTCAACTTGGGTCCCAAAGTCACAAACCACTTTTGAAAATCTTGGCCCTAAAGCCATGGGTAAGTGAGTAGAGGGTCTCAGTCCAATAGCTGGTGGTCACGTGGCCACCTGGTGGACATGTCACAAAACTGGCGGTGATGGGCACCTTTTGCTCACTGTCTTCAGTGACTTGCGGATGACTGAATTTCAGGGAAAAGGGAGTCAAACCAAATAATAAATTATTTGCATAACATACCTAGATTTATGCTTTGCATAAACTAAACTAGACAAGGCAGTCTCAGGCCAAGTCCACACTAGGAACTTTTGCTGAAATTATAACATTAGTTAGGGGTGTCAATTTTGTCTGCCACATCGATACCGGCAAAAACCCTAGAGCAGACACAGTTATACCGGCATAAAAGTGCTTTTCTTGGGAGCCAGTATAGGCTTTACTGGCAAAAGCACTTTTTTGCCAGTATTAGCTATGTCAACACTGGGAAGGTTTGCTTCCATACCCATACCAGTGTAGTTATACCGGCAAGCATTTTTCTAGTGGAGACTTGGCTTCAGTTGTGTTCAAAGATCTCTCTTTTCCCTGCACCTCACCTCCATCTGGGGCAGCCAACCCTCCTTATCATAGAATCATAGAATATCAGGGTTGGAAGGGACCTCAGGAGGTCATCTAGTCCAACCCTCTGCTCAAAGCAGGACCAATCCCCAACTAAATCCTCCCAGCCAGGGCTTTGTCAAGCCTGACCTTAAAAACTTCTAAGGAAGGAGATTCCACCACCTCCCTAGGTAACGCATTCCAGTGTTTCACCACCCTCCTAGTGAAAAAGTTTTTCCTAATATCCAACCTAGACCTCCCCACTGCAACTTGAGACCATTACTCCTTGTTCTGTCATCTGCTAACACTGAGAACAGTCTAGAGCCATCCTCTTTGGAACCCCCTTTCAGATAGTTGAAAGCAGCTATCAAATCCCCCCTCATTCTTCTCTTCCGCAGACTAAACCATCCCAGTTCCCTCAGCCTCTCCTCGTAAGTCATGTGTTCCAGACCCCTAATCATTTTTGTGGCCCTCCGCTGGACGCTTTCCAATTTTTCCACATCCTTCTTGTAGTGTGGGGCCCAAAACTGGACACAGTACTCCAGATGAGGCCTCACCAATGTCAAACAGAAGGGAACGATCACGTCCCTCAATCTGCTGGCAATGCCCCTACTTATACATCCCAATATGCCATTGGCCTTCTTGGCAACAAGGGCACACTGTTGACTCATATCCAGCTTCTCGTCCACTGTAACCCCTGGGTCCTTTTCTGCAGAACTGCTGCCTAGCCATTCAGTCCCTAGTCTGTAGTGGTGCATGGGATTCTTCTTCTGCACTTGTCCTTGTTGAACCTCATCAGATTTCTTTTGGCCCAATCCTCTAATTTGTCTGTGTCCTTCTGTATCCTATCCCTACCCTCCAGCGTATCTACCTCTCCTCCCAGTTTAGTGTCATCTGCAAACTTTCTGAGGGTGCAGTCCACACCATCCTCCAGATCATTTATGAAGATATTGAACAAAACCAGCCCCAGGACCAACCCCTGGGGCACTCCACTTGATACCGGCTGCCAACTAGAGATGGAGCCATTGATCACTACCCGTTGAGCCTGATGATCTAGCCAGCTTTCTATCCACCTTATTGTCCATTCATCCCGCCCATACTTCTTTAACTTGCTCCTTCTCCAAACCAGTTTTCCCCAGACACCTAGACACACAGTAGGGTTTTTGACTTACTGCTTTCTCTCAGGCTTTGCCTAGCCAAGGCCTAAAAAGATGTTTAATTGAGGATATGACTAGCTTTAATAGCGACCTTTCAAAGGTGTAACACTCCATCTCAGAGATTCCATTGCACAGAGCAATTTGCCCAAGGAGTAAAGTGGTTTCTGATGGGCCATACACATTGTATCTCGAAGAAGATGGTTTCATCTGGCTGTGGGGGAGACTTTTCTACAGTTGAAGCTTTCCCTTTCTCCCTGTGCCCACTCAATGGTTAGGAAATATTCCTTCATTGGCAGATACATGCAGCCCATCACAGAGATGTGACCAAGGGGGATGCTGGAAGCCCCTCAGACTCATAGAGCTATAGAGAACATTTATAATATTTAGTCCATTCCTTGCCATTGGAGGATTAAAGGACTCGATTACTTGAGAAACAGTCTAGACAAAGCACTGAAAAATGTACAGTGTGGAAGTCTGAAACTGCACTATCCCATCTTCCTAGCTCCTATTTCCATGGTTCACAGTAGCTCCGGTTAAGACAGTCATCAAAGCTATCACTTTCCTTATGCATGCCTCTAGAAAACAAGCCTTTGAGCTGTCCATTACTTTAGCTGCTTCAGGTGAGACGGGAAAAAAAGAAGGCATGGGGATAACCCAGTGTGTTTTGTTCCTACTATTTCAGTTCTGCCTACTCAGATAAAGGCGATGTAAAGGCTGGTCATCTTCCTACTCTAGCCATCTGTGCATTTTCTATACGCTGAGTGCTCTTGGTTCATCAGGATCACCCTAATGGGGTAGGGTTCTAATCCACTGCATGAAAAATGACCTTTAGCTCAGTTTCTAAGGCAATTTGGTAATTTACAGATGACCCATTGGTATGTGAACATTGATCAAACCAGTTTAAGCAGAGCAGTTTGCCTAAATCACCACTTTCTCAATGAGTAAAGCTGGTGCAAATCACCCATGTTCTCAGCCAGGAAAGGAGTTTTGTAAATGGGCATTCTGGTCAGGTTCAGGTTATTAACATGCACGTTTTAAAAAAAGTCAAAGTATTTATTTACTAACATGCATTTATTCAAATTGGTTGCATCTGTTCTGTAAACTGCTTCGAGAAAAAAAAACATCTTGGTTCACACACATTTACATAGTATTTAATGAATGATGAGTCACACATTTATGAAGCATGTGTAAATTGCCTATTTACATACACAATGTAAACAATGTAAATTTCCTTTTTTCCCCTTCATGCAGTGATATTGTATAGTGCTGCCCGTAACAATGCAATGAATAGAAATCCATTCTAAGAGTGGATCCAGTGCCCACCGAAGTCCATGAGAGTCTTTCTATTGACTTTGGTGGCCATTGGACTGGGCCCAGGATGGTTTGTCGAGGTTTGTTCCTTTTAACAGCCGGGTCTACATTAGGAGCTGTTGACCAATATAAGTATAACGGTATAGAATAACGACAAAATGCTTCCAGTGGGGACACTGCTTATACTGGCAAAGCTTTGTTTTCACTGGTGTAGTTTATTCCACACATATAACACACCCAAGCTAAACAAGCTATACCAGTAAAAGTACAGTTTTTCTGATAAAACTGCGTCTACATTAGCAGTTTATGCAGGCACAGCTGTGTTGATCAGGGATCATACCTTTTCACACCCGACTGACATGCCTGTACTGTAAACATAGCCTTACTATAAGCCCAAAGGTAAATACAATGCTTGCCATTAAAAAAACAACATCTACCAACAAAGCACAGTGGTCTAGCCCATTAGTTGAAATAGGAGCTATCTCAGATATCTCAGATATTTGTATTAGTACCTGTCCTATCTCAGATACTTGTATTAGTAAATTTTGGCTTTAAATGGTGACCACTGCAAGTTTGGGCAAGTTTGGGCAAAATCCATTCCATTGGCTTCAATCAGCTGACCTTCAAAAATAGTTTTCTCTGTGTAGAGATCTGTGTGTGTACATAAATGTGTTTATATGTATAACGTGTATGTCAACGTTTATATATATTTATATAAGACCAAAATCTTCATTTACAAGCTGGGGCTTCCATTCCATTTAATTACTTCCCTCGCTGCTTTAAATCAAAGACCAATTCAAAACAGAGCCGCTTCTGTTAAACTTAATTATTTTCTCCTGCAGCTTATAGGGTAAAGTGTGGCTACTAAAAAGGGCACTTCCTAATTGAAGGTTGGTTCTAAATGCCATCCTTGTATGCATTCCCTTTGAATGGCAGTCTGGAAAATCCCAGTGTTTTATTTCTGGGGACTCGGCTGCAAAGACTGAGTAGAGAGAACTGACTCACGAGGCTTGGGGCATCAATTTTCAGAGGTGACTGACTGGTTTTAGGTGCCTCGGTTTTCTAGTGCTCAACATGACGCTCGGCACTTTCTAAAAACCAGGCCCCTTTAAGGCGTTTCCAGCTTGGCATCCAAAATCCATAGCCACTTCTGAAACTGTTTGCCTTGGATGGGGGAGGGCCGCGTCTCCCTCCCACCTCTTTCTTTTGCATGTTGTGTGGAGCCACATTGGCTTTCGCACTCCTCCTGAAATATGGTAAGCATCTCTTTATTTTGTTCCAGAAGACAGAAAACTCTTTGTGGGCATGCTCAACAAGCAGCAGTCAGAAGACGATGTGCGCAGGCTATTTGAGGCGTTCGGGAACATTGAGGAGTGCACAATCCTCCGGGGACCCGATGGCAACAGCAAAGGTAAGACGGCTCATGCTACACGGTGCATGGCCCCTGCAGCCAGCACCAACCTCTGAACAACAGCATCCAGTAGACGAGGGTGACTCAGTGGCTAGATGAATCTCGCCTCTTGGATTGATTAGGGCCAAACTTTCATATTAAGGTCCCCAAGGAGTGGGCCAAACTCTCTGCTGCTGTAAATGGGCCAAGGCCCATTGAAGTCCAAGTACACCAGCTGAGTTTGGCCCGGTCTCTGCAGGATATGTGTGCCTGAGCACAAAGAACCAGTTGCGTGCACAAAGTACATGCCCACAAATGATTATGTGCGTACACTTCTTTGCATGCATACCAGCTTGCATGCATCACTGCCCACCTTGTAAGTGCGTGTTTTGTGAGCACCACCTAAGTACAGTACTTATTTCTGAAAATGTGCCCACTCATGTCCTGTAAAATTTGCTTTCATAATCTGCCCTGAAGCAATCCAGAGCCACATTTTCCTTTGTCTGCGTTTGTGTGCCTTCAGGTGAAACGTGCTCATTCATTCTCTTAACACAACCAAGTGTTCCACTTGCCATCTTCAACCACTAGCTCTTCCCAAGTCCCAGATGATTTTATTATGTGTATTACAGGCCCCAATCCATATTGGGCCCCATTATTCTGGGTGATGTATGAACCATAAGAGACAGTCTCTGTCCCGTAGAGCTAAAAGTCAAATAGACAAGACAAAGAGTGGGAGGGGAAAAAAAGAGGCCCGTAGAGAGAAAAGGCCTCTCTAAACTCACACAGCTGCCTAGCGGCAGAGCCAAGAATGGAACCCAGGGCCCCTTTCTCTTCTCTCTCACCTCCAACACAAAAGTTCCTCTTCATTATCATGTGTAATTCTCACTGTAGCCACTCCAGGCTATCAATATTCATGCCAATACTACAGAAATAGTGTTTTAGGGTTTGCTGCAGCACCCAATGAAGTCAATGGGAGTTTGACCATTTCCATTGGGAGCATAAGCAAAAGTAATGAAATATCAGAAGGAAGGCAGTTCTTGTAGTATGTTCAGTAGAGCTGGTCAAAAGATCCCCATTATTTTTCATGAAAAACATGGTTTTAAAATGGTTCTTTTCCCCTAGATTTCCAAAGAAAACAAAAATTGAAAAGACGTCAATTTTCACAAAAGAGGTTTGATTAAAATGTTAAATTTGGGGGTGTCGCTGGGTGGCTGGACCTTTAATGGGAAATGGGTCTCAGCCTCACCTGTGAGACGATTAACTCCTCTCCGCGGGTGGGGAATAGAAAGATGGGCCATGTGATTCCATCAGGCTTCCTGGATAAATAAAGCAAAGGCCTGGGAGAGGGAGAGAGAAAGGTCAGCAAAGGTCTGGAGAAGGTTGCTGAGGATTGCAGAGAGCAGCAAGTCTCCTGCAGGAGACCCTGAGATCGCCAGGACCAGGCATGCAGCAGAAGGTGTGCACCTGCTGGTCTCTGAGCCAGAGAGAGTTGGGGAAGGCTAAGAGTCAAAAGAGCAGAGCAGCCAAAGGGGTTTATCTGCTGGTCTCTCTGAATGATAGAGAAGACAATTCAAGGGAAAGGAAGGACTCCAGGTAGGAAAGCCTGTGAGTGGCTGCTTGGAGAGCAGGGAAGGACTCCAGCTAGAAACGTCTGGGATTGGCAGCTTGATGAAGGGTAGACTGGGCCTGAAGAAGAGCAAGAGCTGTGAATGAATTGTTGTGTTATGGGTTCATGGACTTTACTGTGGGATTTTGAGGCTTGTTTCAACTTGTTTGTTATTAGACCAGCCCCAAGCAAGGGTGTCATTAGCTAGGGGAAAGCCTTTGTGGATTAGTTCCAGGAACCTCGGAGGGAAACTGAGGCAAAGCCACCCTTGGCCACAAAGAGGCAATCTGGAGACAGTGACTCAGTTTCAAAACCCAAAATCTTTTACCCAAAAAATTGCGGGAAGGGTGCTTTTTGTGCCCCTCGCCCCCTGAGAAAAGCCAGGTAACTTTGACCAAAATAAAAATTTTCTATGATCAAAAAGCCAAATGTTTCAACTAGCTGTAATATGCAGACCAGTATTGCAGATTCCAATAAGCATTCTGACTTCTGAGTATGGAGATCAACTTCTGAACTTATTTTCTTATTTGATTTTTGGACATTTAAAAATAGAATTTACTCCACCATTAGCAGAGTCTAAAATCAGGGAAGCCAGCAGTGTCCAAGGAGGCAGAATGATGCAGCTGAACTGAGAACCCAGATTTCTCAACTCCCCGTACTGTGCTTTTCCTAACTGGAAATGGTAGAAGCCCCATCACTTAAAGCTGGCGTTGGCAAAGTGGTGAAGAATGTATAGAACAAAGGAAATGATCTTGCATTTTTCCCCAGAAGAATGGAGTGGATAATCACATGGACCTAACTTTCGCAGCCAGGCATAATGTGTGTGTACAATGCAAAGACCCCCAATTGCATACAAATAGGAATCTGCACTTGTAAGAGAGGTAAATACACACAAAAGGGCCATTTTGCATGTGCATATACCCACTAGCTTGCACAAACTGCAGGGTAACAAATGCACATACATTTTTGAGTGTGCGCCCATTGCACTCGTCGGTATTTGCCATCCCCAATTTAAAAGCTCTTCTATCAGGTTTCAAAGGCAAATACTTAAAATGTGAAAATTGGTCTCATTGGATTGACTAGCCAGTTGTTGGCCCTTTTGAGACAGTACTTACCACCTGGCCGCATGCAGCTGCGGGTGTTCTGTCCTTGAAGCCTTTTCTCCAGCGTCAGCATTTGAACAAGAATTTTCCATCTAATATCAGGGTCATTCTTCCAGCCATTTCCTAGAAAAGTATCTTCAATTTAAAGAGGAAGCCCTCCTCTCTTGACAACGAAATGCATCCATTAAATATTGATCGGCATGTAATAAATAGTTCATCAAATGTGCTGGCGTGGGTGAAGAAGACACCAGGCCTGCTGTTGCAGTTCATATGTCACCAGCTATTTTGACATGTGACAACATCGACGGGCATATTTCTGCAACACGAAGACGGAGGATCCTAACCACAGTGACATATTTGAGAAAGACCCTGATATGCCTGGAAAGTCACTCTCAGCCAGCAAAGATTCTTCATCTTCAGACAGGCCACAGCTTGTCACTGTGGTAGGAAACAGACGGGGGAAAGGGAGGGTGCCATCCGATATACTCTCTGCTCTGAGAGTGAATGTCTGGGAAAGTCGAACACCAAGAGCAGAAATTGGATGCTAACACTGTGCAGGGAGGTAGCAATCATGGCAGAATGGGAGTGTTGTTCCACACCAGAGGATCTCAGCTTTCTCCCAGCCACGATTCCCTCCAAGCCACTTACTTCATCACATCTGATGAAGTGAGCTGTAGCTCATGAAAGCTTATGCTCAAATAAATTGGTTAGTCTCTAAGGTGCCACAAGTCCTCCTTTTCTTTTTGCGAATACAGACTAACATGGCTGTTACTCTGAAACCTTACTTTTTGAGGGTCTGATCCAATTCACGTTGAAATTAATGGGATTCTATCTACTGATCTGAATGGCTATTGAACCTGGCTCTGATTCCATAGGGCTCACTTTTCTGCTTTTTCACAGTCCCATGTGATGCATCACTGCTCCCCCGACCCCGTTACTCATTATGGAAGTATTAGCCTGATGGTGGCTAGAGAAGAAGACACACACAAATGCCAGCCTGTGTCTTGATGTATTTTTTCCAGCCCTTTTGCAGACCCATTGTGAGCTGGACAGGTTTGCCTGTAAATTACAGCTTCATCTCCTGAACGACTGGGACTTAAGAACATAACAGCTGCCATGAGTCAGACTAATGGTCCATCTAGCCCAGTGTCCTGTCTCCCAGTACCAGAGCTTCCAGGGGAATGTACAGAACAGGGCAATAGCGGACAGATCCACCCCATCTTCCCCTCCTGGCTTCTGGCAGATTGAGGTTTGAGGTCACCCCAAGCATGGTTTTGCATCCCTTCCCAGCTTGGCTAATAGACATTGATGGATCTATCCTCCATGGATTTACCTAGTTCTTTTTTGGAACTCAGTTATACTTTCTGCCATCACAGCATGCTATGGCAGTGAGTTCCATGGATTAATTTTGTGTTGTTGTTCAATAAAGTATTTCCTTGGTCTCCCTCTGTCCTTGTAGCTCCTCCTACTGTTCTGTCTGATCCTGCTGTTGCACCAGCGCTGTAAAGCAAATTAAATGAGTGTAGTGCTGTGAATGGGGCTGGATTGACAGAACACTAATCTCCCCCACTACATACCCACCTCCCTGCCATTCTGCCAATATCTTCCCAGAGAGGGCCAGTCTCTAGGGGTTAGAGATTGTTCAGTCCAGCCATGTTTGTCCATTAGAATTAACCTGAGACCCACCAATTTACTTCTCAGAGTTTGCCAAACACCAGCCAGATGGCCAAGAGCCCCCAGCATTTTCGGCTCCTGTTTAGAAAGCCATCCCGAACCAGGAATGCACTTAAATGTATGAGGCCAGATTTCTAAAGGTGTTTAGGGGCCTAACTCCTATTGAAATCAATGAGAGTTGGGCACCTAAATACCTTTAAAAAATCTGGCCCACGGATAACTTTAAGCACTTGCTTAAGCACATTGGCAAGAACAAGAACAAGAGGCACCAGACTCCCCAAGGTCTTAATGAAAAAAGAAGCCAAGAATCCTTTTCTTCTAGCCTTTTTCTGTGTGTATGAAGTGAATCACTTCATTTGAGGAAGAAACAAGAACGTTCTCACCCTTTCTCTCAGTTGCTCCCAATTCCTAGTTCTGAAAACTCACTTGGGATAATAAGAAAAGCAGGAAGACAGGCTGATTCTCTCATACATAGCTTTTCTGCCCTTAACCACAGTGGCATTCCAATATTTTAATCATATAAGGTCATAGAATTGGAGTAGGGGGTTGTGAGGGGGAAGACAGAGTAAATATATATCTGATATATCTGCGAGTGTTGCCAGCTCTCATAACTTGAGTCTTGGAAAGTTGGGTGCTTC